CAGATTTATTCAATGCCTCTGGGTCACCATTTGGCAATGGATGCACATTAGCACTGTGCACCTGGCATTCTGAAATGTCACTTGTTAATTGGATAACATTTTCAGTGAGGATGTTTTTAAAATCTCAGGTTAACTTGTGTTCTTCCAAAATAGAAACGTGTTTCCAAAGGCTGAATCTGTGCAGTCCTTCCTCAGAGCTACATAGAGATATCCTCCTTACGTAGTAAAGTCTCAGAGGGATAGTCATGTTAGTCAGTAACTTTAAAACAAGGAGTAGTCCTATAGCACCTTAGGCTATGTCTACACTACAAGGTTTTTGCGCAAAAACTGCCACACACCTCAAGTGCACTTTTGCACAAGTAAATTGGCAGAACAGAGGGCTTTTGCCGGTAGAGTTATTCCTCTCCCCACGAGGAATAACTCCTTTTTGTGCTACAATTTTGTGCAAAAAGGCAGGTGTGGATGCTTCAGAGGGGTTTTTGCACAAGAGACCCCTATCAACAAAAGCACAGGTGCTCTGATGGCCATTCTGTGAATGGCAATCATAGCTTTCTTGTGCAAGAGTGTCCGTGCAGCATAGATGCTCTCTTGAGCAAAAGCACATGGCTTTTGCGATGCACTTTGAGGTCTGGACGCAATTTTGCACAAGACGTTTTTGTGGAAGGTCTCTTCTGCAAAAGGCTTCTTGCACAAACACCCTGCAGTGTAGCTGAAGCCTTAGATACTAACAAAAATTATAGAATCATAAAACACTAGAACTGGAAAGGACCTTGAGAGGTCATCAGGTCCAGTCCCCTGCCCCCACAGCAGGACCAAGCACCATCTAAACCATCCCCGATAGATGTCTATCTATCCTGCTCTTAAATATCTCCAGAGATAGAGATTCCACAACCTCCCTAAGCAATTTGTTCCAGTGTTTGACCCTGACAGTTAGGAAGTTTTTCCTAATGTCCAATCTAAACCTCCCTTGCTGCTGTTTAAGGCCATTGCTTTTTATGCTATCCTCAGAGGCCAAGGAGAACAATTTTTCTCCCTCCTCCTTGTGACTCCCTTTTAGATACTTGAAAACAGCTCTCATGTCCCCTCTCAGTCTTCTCCTTTCCAAACCAAACAAGCCCAGTTATTTTAGTCTTCCCTCATAGGTCATGTTTTCTAGACCTTTAATCATTTTGTTGCTCTTCTCTGGACCCTCTCCAATTTTTCCACATCTTTCCTGAAATGTGGTGCCCAGAACTGGACACAATACTCCAATTGAAGCCTAATCAGCACACGCACACACACATATATATATAGTATCATGAGCTTTTGTGGGCAAACCTACTTTCTCAGATGAGCAGAGTGGAGAAAAAAGGGGGAACCTCACAATTTATAACAGAAAAAGAAGGGAACGGGGAGGGGGGGATCACCTGTCAATTGGATTGCCAGTGCTAATGAGACTAATTGAGTGAGCTGGAAGTATCCCATACTTATCTTTGATGTCAGTTGAGTGTTGAATATAATGGCCCATCCAGCTCATGTCTTTGTTCAGGCCTTGAGAGATAGTGTCAAATAGAGGTGAAATAGTATGACTTCTTGGGGCTTCCCTCTGACTTTCCCAGCACTATTCACCATGAGTAACAATCTCTCAAGCTGCACATCTGTTTGTAATCATTTTAACTCACTGTCTTTGAATGGACTAAAAACATCTACCATTGAACACCCTCCCCCATGTAAATGTGTGTCAGTTTTTGCTTTTTATGCAGAGCATTGCTTTATCAGAAGCTTATACAAAGCTGACCATGTATATGCAAATAGGGCAAAATGTGCAGAGATTAAATTTCTACATGGAACTCTTCCCTAAGAGGAGTCTGGCTTGGCTTTTCATTGGCTTTGCCAGTGAAGCTAGTCTGCATTTTTTATCACAAACTCTTACAATCTGAAGATTTAGCTGACCAGAGAAAAGTGAGTAGAATCCCACTTGGTCCTTATCAAATGGAGGAGATCTGCAATTCATCCTTTATGGGTTGTTTTTATAGTGAAGATAGTGATATACTAGTTTCCGATGTCCTTGTGGAGAGCAAGAACATATGTTCTATTTAAGGAAGGGCAAGACCTGAATTTTTGTTACAACCTTAACAGGACCTCTCTCTGGGTGCTATCTTTCATGACTGGTGACATCCCGAGACGGAGAGCTGGCATTTTGATCTTCCTGGATATGACTGGCTTTACTCTGACCTATTATCATGTAATGTTGATCACTGCAGTTATTGTAGTGGATATAAACCCTTTGCTTATCTAATTAGCAGGGGTTGCAGCAGCACGTTCCACTCGAGCACTTTCTTCCCCAGTCTAGCATGGACTGGAAGTACTATGGAGACCATATGGACATAGGATAGGTGGGTGGGGGACAAATGGAAGGAGCACTTGTCTTTGCAGCTCTGTCAAACAGCTGACTCAGAGAGCACCTGGGACTGACTGCAGCAGGGGCCATGGTAGGAGAGGTCACCTCTTGGACCCACACCATTGGTGGAAGGTGAAAGCTTACAAACTACAGTCAGTACTTTACAGCTGGAGGGAAGGTTCCCACGGTACAGAGTTCTTTAAGGTGGATTTGCATCCCACCCCTGCCTCCCAAAACCAAATATCCCCCCCTTTGGAAATGTCAACATCAACATGATGCAGTAGCTGGAAGAACCCCCTTCAGAATGTTAAAGGCCCATTAGGCTGCTGAGGGAGCATGTAATGAAACTCCTCATTAGTCTTGTCAGTAGTTGGATTTCAGGCTTCATAGGATACTGTTAGGTTAAAAACCCTATTTTAAACCTCAAATTGTCCTAAAGTTACAGCAGACACTCTGTGTGTGTACGAACAGGAAAATTGCCCATTTGCTTTGTTTCTCAGCAGTTTTCCTTCCTGGACCTCATACACTGGCACAATGCTGCATTGCTTCGTTTGCAGACATTGCAGAGGTGTGTCAATTTGCACTTAAAATAAAACTCCCAGAAACAATTCCATTTTTAAAAAAACACCTTATTTTTACAAAATCTTATTCTCAGCCAAAGTGGCCCTACAAGTGTCCACCTGGGAATGGACAGAGAGCCTTTAATCAGTGGTGGGCCAGACGTGGCACATCAGGTTTCTCTGTGTGGTCCACAAGACATTTTGTTTCATATTGATCTAGCACTTCCCACTTGGTTCTGTTTGCATAATTTTATTCCTATTGGTATTAAAGAGAGACATGTGAAAAAGGCATGTGAAGTGAGGTCTGTGCTGATTGCACACAGCATTGTGAAAATGCTGTGTTCCCTCTGCATTCAGTTCAATCAGCACCCTCCTCCAAATTCTAGGTGCACAAGTGCAGTTGGTGAAACTACCCTATCCTGGGAGACCATTTTGGTTATGACAATCTCGCAGCCCACTGAGATGAAGAAAGGCCATTCACACGATCCACTCACTAGCCTAGGGTGCTCCTCACTAGATTAAAACATTATGAATCTACTGCTTCACTACCACCACCCCAGTTTTAAAGCAGTTTTTGAGATGAGTACAAAACAATCACTGCTCATTTTCAGTATTTAGGTACTAATCCTAAAAAGCTTTAAGCTCACACTTTGAGCCCAGGTATAGCCCAGTGAAGTCAATTTTCCATTACCATTGTTCTGTGTGGATCATTTTAAAATTAAAGTATTTTTCTTTTAGTATACCAAACTGGACCTCTCTTTAAAAGCTAAGTGCTCCAACATGGATGACTGAATGTTTACAGCTGGGGCTGAATGTTAACAGCCACTTGAACCTTTGAAAAGCAGCATTTGAGAGGGAGGCAGCAACAGCACTTTGAGTACAGCACTGCTGCTCTGACCGCATTGCTAATGCCCTTCTGTGCAAAAATATACTTTTCAAAATAAAAAAAGAAATGCCTCCCCTGCATTTAACACCTCATTTTTTACCTTGAAAGCTAAGTATGGGACATTTTCAGCCCACTTAATTAGACTCTTCAGCACCAATTCTACAATTGACAGGTATTTTTCTATTAAATTCCGGGTTTCTGTTATTCCTCATCAGCTCATTTTATAAAGTGGGTTTTGCCCATGAAAGCTTCTCTCTCTCTCTCTCTCATTTTTATATGAACGTGAATCTCTAAAGTGGGAAAGTAAAATTTCTATTATTTGGCTAATTGAATAGTCGATGCAGGGCTGTTGCTACACTTCAAAGGTGAAAACTCTGAGGGGAACATGGGGCTAGTGGGGGACTCAAGCAGTCCCCCACTGGCTCTGTGTTCCCTCAGCGTTTCAAAACAGCAGTGCTGCATGGAGCCCAGGGTCATCGGGGGAGTCCCCAGCTTGCACCAGCTGGACTCCACGCATCACTACCACTTTGAAATGCCACAGGAGCTGCACCAGGCTGCATATGGAATTTCAAAGTGGCAGCACTGCATGAAGCCCAGAGTCTGGCCCCAAGCTCCAACAGAACTGCTGCTTTGTAGCACCTCCTCCTTATCCCCTCCTTTCTGCCACTTTCTAATACAGGCAGCAAGGAGGGCGGGGAGTAGAGCAACTAGTCAACTAGGCTGTCATGCTTATCGGATAGTTGACTAGTCCTTCACATCCCTAGTCACAGACTACTCCTTGTTTTGAAAGTTACAGACTAACACGGCGACCTCTCAGAGACTTTTCAGATTGCTCAGCTGACAACTATATTATTCTACAGGGAGACCTGAATAGAACAGACTCCTGAACTGGTCCTGATTAAAAAAAACAACACAAACAAACACTTTAACACCTGTTAAATGAAATGTTACCTCTTGTACCAAGGAAAACATGACCCATTATGAATGGGTGATGGGCCTGAACCAAAAATTCACATCTTAAACTTTGGATCCATGTCCAAACTTTGTCATAACACAAACCGACGTCTACTGTTAACATGCATTAGGCTGAGGATCCCCAGACAAACTTCTTACCCACAGATAATGGAGCAGAGTCTCAGTGCTCTTTGCTAACCTCTCACCTTGTTTCCTGCAGACTCCTGGCTTCTGTCCCATCCCAGCTGAGTGAAGAGGACCTTCCAAGTGACTTGCAGTCCTTGTCATGGCTGACCTCAGTTGATGTCCCTCGCTTACAGCAGATGGCTAGTGGAAGAATGGACTTCAGCATCAGCTCTCAGGATTCGATGCTGCTGCAGACAGGTAGCTTGCCCTGATGTTAAATGAATAATAACCAGTAATGAGAGACAACATGCCCTGTAACCAGTTTTATTTGTAACTTTTCAGCATAAGTACTTTAGAGTTAGCTCTGCCAGAAACACTGCATCCTCTTATTGTCTGTGACAAGAGACACTCGCTACATATGGTTTATATTCAAAGGCAGTGCAAACTAGGGGTTAGAAGAAAGATCAAAGGGTCTGGAGTTGACTTTTATGCCCGCCTCAGCCTCCTTGTGAGACTCTGGTGCAATGTCTTTATTTTCCAAAGTTCTCAGCATCTCTGGAAATAAAAATGTATTGCTTTGCCTTTGTTTCAATGTCACTAAAATGACAATAACTTAGCCTGCCTTGCAGCTGTAAGTTTCATACAGCCTCTCAATTAATGGTCACCAAACTTTTCTCCTTAGTCTTAACATCACTGTAGCAACCACACCTATTTTCATTCCCTTTATAGAGCAATTCATGACCTTAGATCAGTGGTTCTTAACGTGCTGTCTGTGAACTGTCTTGCAGCTGGGCCATGGGCTCAGGGTCACACACACAGCCACTCAGAGGGGAGCCTGCCCTGGTGGTCCAGACCTGCACCCCCCCGGTGAAGTTGGCTTCCCACTGGAGGAGGGAGGGGTCACCCAAACCTTGGTGAGCCAAATCCTGCTTGCAGGAAGGAAGGGGAGGAAGTGGCTCCATGTACTGCGGCTCCTCACTCTTGTTGAGGAAATGGCAGTGCAAGAAACCACTAACCTGGAGGCTTTCCCTTGCTTCCTTTGGCCAGACCCCCTACCTCCAGCCTGCTCCTACACTCTACCTCCTGGCCAAGCCACTATCCTCAACCCACTGCACCTACATGCCCACCCTCAGTCTGCTCCTAACTCTCAGCCAGACCTGGCACCAGCTCTCCCTCCTGTACCCATTTTGTCATCCTGGGTGATTGATGATCTGCAGAAAGGTCTGCAATGAGCAGGGTGGGCTGTAGGTCAAAAAGTTTGAGAACCACTGCCTTCAACTATAGAACCCTAGGAGCCAGGATTTTATTCAGTATAATTTACCCTTTGTAACATGCCACATATACGCCTGACACTACAAAATCTCACCTAACACTCCACCAGTCGCTTCTTTTAGTGCCATTCTGCACCACCCTGACAGTTTGCAATGTGTTTGGGGTTCCTAGTCTTAATTCCATGGAGCCTACACAGAGTCGAAATGTGGCTTTGCAAAATAAATACCAACACATTTTTCCAGAGATGTAGTTTTACATGGGTGCCTTCATCATCACACATGCTTTTTTCCTGACTAGGTCCTGTGCCAGGCAATTTGCATTCAACGGGTGCGCACCACCCTGACAGTTTGCAATGTGTTTGGGGTTCCTAGTCTTAATTCCATGGAGCCTACACAGAGTCGAAATGTGGCTTTGCAAAATAAATACCAACACATTTTTCCAGAGATGTAGTTTTACATGGGTGCCTTCATCATCACACATGCTTTTTTCCTGACTAGGTCCTGTGCCAGGCAATTTGCATTCAACGGGTGCTCCTGGAGCAATGATTGAGGTGCAAGCCAGTCTGCCACAGGGAATTCTGGGGCTGAATACAATTACGTCGCACGGAGCAAATGTAAGAGCTGACCAGAGCGGGTTAATTTTATTGCCATGTTTGGCAAGAAAAGATGTGGGACTTACACTTAGAACTTACACTTCTGTTGTCTTTTTCATCCCAATAGATGAGCCAGTACCCCGTTGGAGGGCAGCCATCTCCTAGTTTACAGTCCCAGCATCCGCTTTTCCCAGTTCCTCATTCACAGCAAGTGTTTGCCATCACACAGACTGCACAGCAGGTACTACTGCATGCAATGCAGGCTGTGTCTCAGAGGAGCAGTTCAGGTTGGATTTGCAGGTTCTCCAACACCAGCGTTAATGGCTGAGCTCATGCTGCTCCTTATTTGTTTCATCACCTTGAGTCCCCCTGACCTAATCTCTGTGCACATGCCCTTTAGAGTCAGGTTTGAAAATGCCCATGCTAGGAGCCCTTCCGGAGGAAAAACCACATCTGCCTCACTCGCCCCTGGTGATGTGCCACCGAAATGCAGTATTGAGAGTGTTCACTCTCAAGATCCGTAATCGACTGCTTATTCCAGCTAGGTCATCACTTCACAATCCCCCCAACTTGGAAGAAAACTTTTTCTATTGCTGTGTCATTTTACCCACCAGCTGCGTCTAGACTGGCCAGTTTTTCCGGAAAACCAGCCGCTTTTCCGGAAAAACTTGCCAGCTGTCTACCCTGGCTGCTTGAATTTCTGCAAAAGCACTGACTTCCTATTGTAAGAAATCAGTGCTTCTTGCAGAAATACTATGCTCCTCCCGTTCGGGCAAAAGTCCCTTTTGCGCAAAAGTTTTGCGCAAAAGGGCTAGTGTAGATAGCTCAGATTTGTTTTCCGCAAAAAAGCCCCGATTTCAAAAATGGTGATTGAGGCTTTTTTGCAGAAAAGCGCATCAAGATTGGCATGGACACTTTTCCGCAAAAAGTGCTTTTGCGGAAAAGTGTCCGTGCCAATCTAGACGCTCTGTGCCGAAAATGCTTTTAATGGAAAACTTTTCCGGTAAAAGCATTTCCAGAAAATCATGACAGTCTAGACATAGCCTGAGTGTAGACCTGATCATAGTGGAGCAGCAATGCCCAGGGTATGGAAGGGTCTCTCCCTAGGTCAGCGGTTTTCAAACTTTTTTTCTCATGACCCAGTTGAAGAAAATTGTTGATGCCACGACCCATCATCATGTGACTAGATTGTGGGCTCCAGGGTGGGGCTGAGGATGGGAGCTTTGGGATGTAGGAGGGGGCTCCAGCTACAGCAGTGACAGGGCTGGAGCAGGAGGGGCTTACTTTGAGCAGCTCCTGGTCAGTGGTGCAGCGGGGGTTGCTAAGGCAGCTTCCTGCCTCTCCTGGCACCGCACACCATGTTGCCCCCAGAAGCAGCCAGCATTGGGTTCCCAGTGCAGAGCTAGTGCTGAGGGCAGGAGCCATGCATGGAGCCCTGTGCACGCTCTTCTCACACACACCTAGGAGCTGAGCCTGCTGCCAGCCACTTCTGGGGCACAGCACAGTCTGCAGCACAGAACAGGCAGGAAGCTGCTTTAGCACCCCCACTGCTCACCTGATGCCCGACATTCCACCACCCAGTGCTGGGGCACAACCTGTAATTTGAAAACCACAGGGCTAGATCACTGCTGCAGCTTTTGAGGAGAATTCCATCCTGTCCTGCTCCCTCTGTGTCCCCACAAGAGGCCAAGGACAGAGTGGAAACAGACAGAGCAGCTCTCATGCCATCTCTTTCCTTGGATCTGTCTTGCAAATAGGAGAAAGGTTACCCCAGCATAGCCCACACTACTCCCCTGCAGATTTTTTTAAATCCATGTCAGTCAGTCTCCAGAGCTGTCAGGCCCATGTTTCACCAACGCTAGCTTGCTCAGAAATGGGATGCACTTGTGGCAGGGCAGGAGCAGTGCGGCATGGAGCTGTGACAAGCTCACAAGTTATAAGCACATTCTTCGATAACAGCATTTGGACTGAGGAAGAGGCCTGTGTGCTACTGTACAGTGAGCCTGAACTGGGGAGCTTTCAGTGTGTTCATTTTAATAATGACCTGTGGTTCCGTGTCTGAATCAAGTCAGTCTAAATGGCCTAGAAAATGCCCCCCTATGCATGAGACTGAGAGCTTTGGGGTGTTGGAGGGACCTCTGGCTTGGGGTAGAGTCTCATTGTAAGAAAGGATGAAACTTATTACCACTCTACTTGGCCTTTAATTGACACTGGGATTCACGAATGTTGGGATTGGTTAGCATCTCCCGTCTCTTCCAAGCACAGAAGCATGGTCCAGGAAGTCTTTTTTCTTTTGTACCCGTATGGTCTGGAATGTGACCGCATCTGGGGAGCTTTCATTTCTCTTCAGTACTAAAGCCAGAGAACACACTGCAGTTTTGGGTAGGGTTGGTGGGGAAGGCAGATTCTTCTGACAGTTTTCCCTCTTTGTTCCTGACTATAGTGTAACCCAGCTGCATTATACAGTGCATCCTATGGACCCCAGCCTCACTACTCTCAGCCTCGCCTTGCTCCTCTCACTGCTCAGGAAGTCCATCCAAAACATTATCCCAAGCCAATCTACTCCTACAGGTGAGTGGAGAATCTGCTGGGCTATTGCTTCCAGCCCGCAGTTGTGGTGGCTCCTACATGGCATAGCAAAAGCCTTTCTTTTCCTAGCATAAAAGTGATTTGCTTTTCCCCTGATCTTGACTGAAGCTTTCTCTGGAGAGGCAAACTGCCTCATTCCTCACCCACCATTCTGCTGTTCTGTCTAGGTGGCTAGTGTAGTTAGTACCAGTGCAAAGACCTTGACAAGTTTATTCAGCAGGGCAGAGATGGAGTAACAGCCTCAAAGAGCTTGGGTCTCAAGATGTCATTATCTCTTTTGGACCCTTAAATACAGAAGATGGGTAATGTGACTGTAGAGCTGATGTGACCCCGAGTGCTATGGGAAGTGTCTCTTCATACAGGTGCTCGTGTCTGGGTGAAGGTGGCTGTCGGGTTGCTAGGTAAAGAGGAGGGTATTGTGGGCCAACAGATATAGCAGGAAGAGGGAACCTGCTTTTATCTTCTCTCTTTCTTTCAGCTGCTTGATTGCAATGGCATTGAAGAACAGCAAAACGGGCAGTCTTCCCGTGAGTGAGATCTACAGCTTCATGAAGGAGCATTTCCCCTACTTCAAGGTACGGGATCAATAGGCTTTTAGTGCCAAAGGGAACAAAGCAGGTCTAGCCACTTACTTCTGCATTCGATCAGTCACTTCTCAACGCGCCATGTACCAAAAAAACAACCCCAGACAGACAGACAGACAGACACAGACACAGACACAGACACACACTCTCTTTACTGGCTGCACTCTAGGGGAGCAGGATATTTATGCATAAACCTTTGGCATAAACAGAGAAAGCAGGTGGCACCACAACCTAATCCTTCCCCCATCCCCTCCTTAAGCTGTCCCCCACACCAAGACACACATCCCCTCCCCAAGATAAGGCCCGTCAACAGCACAGTCTCAGCTGGGCACATTTAACCGAGGGCCTAGGGAGAGGGGCTGTCTTTTGGCGGGAGTCAGACCCAAACTGCTTGAGGACACCAATGCCTTAAGCTGGGCTTGGAAGCTAATGCAGCCCAGAGCTTTCTGAGGCACTAAGAACATGCAGCATGAGAGGGCAGGTGCAGTATGCTTAGAGCCACTTGCATGGCTAAGCAAGGGGGCAAGTCACTGCACTAACTGGAGCTCCTGAGTGTCCCCCCAGGAAAAATACACACTGTGTAACCCTCCCCTTCCCTCTCCCCCCACACACATCCCACAATGGCTCTTCTCCCTGCAGAAGCTTATTTGAGTGACACTCTTCTGCCCTGCAGACCGCGCCCGATGGTTGGAAGAACTCTGTGCGCCATAACCTCTCCCTCAACAAGTGCTTTGAGAAGGTGGAGAATAAAATGAGTGGCACCTCCCGCAAAGGCTGCCTATGGGCCCTCAATCCTGCCAAGATTGACAAAATGGAAGAAGAGATGCAGAAATGGAAGAGGAAGGACTTGGCTGCTATTCACAGGAGCATGGCCAATCCAGGTAGGCTGGCATGGGACTTTACCTCTTTCACCATGCATAAGAGTCACAGAAAACAAGACTGTTTGGCCAGTCATACATAAACCCAGTCATTGAGAATAGGAAAGTGTTTCAGAGGACAGGGGTGCCCTGCAGAGCTGGCTGGGTACAGGCAGTAGCCACAGAAAGCTGGTTTGGCTAGCTCAACTTCTGCCACAGTTCAGGCCTGTTTATTATTGGCCTAAAGCCCAAGAGGCATCTCAGGAGCCGAGCATTAAAAGCAAGCCTGTGTATGCTAGAACAGTGCCCTCCATATCAAATGTCCTGCGTCAGCACCATGGTCACACGCACATAGAAGAGGCAGTGAATTTTTAAAAAACCTTTGCCTGGCTGATTATTGCTCTTCTCATCTCTTTCTGTGAGTGCATCTAAGTGATTAATGCTGGACACTGTGAGCCAGAACTCCTGGCTTTTAAATCCAGCTTTGTCACTAATACTGCGTAGTTTGAGCTAGCCAGACTTCAGATCCCCTAGCCTCAGTTTACTCATCTGTAAAATGGGCATGCCATTTCCCATCTAGCACAGCAAGTGGGAGATGGAATTCAAATATCATGCTGTACAGTGTTTTGAGATCATCTAATGAAAAGTGTTAAATGGCCAATATCCCCCCAGCCCTTTGTATCTGGAGATAGTCACTGTTCGCCTCAATGGGGCAGACTGATCTTTCAAACTCAGGTCAGATCTGGCATGATTACCAAAGATGATTATCCTCAGTCCCATTTTTTTCTAGATGACTCACCTGAAGCCTTTAGCAATTCTAGACAAGTTCTGCTGCCTCAGAGTCAGTATTTAGAGCATCACATTTTAACCACTACACTTCATGCCCCTTATTCTGCAGAATTGTTGAGATTTTTATTCATTCACCAGGATTTCTCCATTTTTATAACAAACAGCATATTTGTTAGGCTCATGCTACCATGGTTGTGGCCAAAACCAAACATGACTTTTCCTGGTAAGGCTGGAATGTGTGATCAGAACAACATAACGCTTTCCTTTTGATGGAAGAGTTTAAAAACAAAGTATTATGGAAGCTATCTTGTGACTGTCTTAGAAAACGTAGTTAACATGTGAAGATAAGTTCAGCGACTCTTCAGTCAGATTAAATTTCCCTGATCTCAATTAACAATGAGCTGACTGTGTAGGTCCACCCCATTGAGTTTGAAGAGTGCCACCTCGACTGCCTGGGTAAATATCAGGTCAAGGTTTTCTTGGCCTGACCCTGAGACAGAAAGAGAAGATAATGGCTTTTTGAGGTCACCAAATTAACCACCATCAATAGTACCAGCAACAACAAGATGTCTGTGAGCACCTTAGAGACTAACAAAACATATATAGAAGAAATACAAATATCAGATGCTTTTATGTACAAACTCACAAAGTTTATGTACAAATTGACAAAGAATAAGTCTGTCAGTTTTCCAGGATAATCCTATAAGAAATGAAAAATATCACTATTTTTCCTCAACCTATTCAACAAATATACTAAATTGCAAAGAAAAAGAACCAAGTCAAAATGCATTTGTAACTACTCTTTGAAGACCATGAGTGAAATTAGAATCATGAGCTTTCCACTTTGTCATATGTGCTGGAGTGGAAATAGCAGAAACCAAGATTATACATGGCCAGTAACATAGGCAAGGGAAGGGCACAGCCTTCCCAAAACTATCTACATGCCCCACTGCGCAAGGATGGGGCCCACACCAGGATGGGCCAGGGCCACAGAACAGTAGCCCCAGCCCTCCATGTGGCCAGGAAGGATTGGTCTAGAGTTGGGTGGGGGTTGGCTCTTAGACTCAACCTCGGGCGGAAGGGGCAGGGTAGGGCTGGGGCTTGCCTTCTCCCAGTTCGGCTTTCACCGGCCGCCCAAGTATAAATATGGTGCCACAGGACCACTCATAGTCTGTAACTTTCAAGACAAACACAACTCCCCCCCTGAGACTTTTTGTCCAGTTCTATGGACATGCTTCAGAAGGACATGGTTTCCTTTTCAGCAGTAACTAGGCATTCCAGACCCTGAGCTACCTCTGGACGGACGAGCCCTGCTCAAACCTGCATTCTCACTTGCTTGTTTCCCCTACAGATGAATTAGATAAACTAATCACTGACAGACCAGAGAACTGCAGGCGGCCTCGGAAGCAGGCAGAACCTGAAGGGTCCACACGGACCCATGTGGCAGCAGCCCATGGCCGAATCTCCATCTCCAAGATGCAGCCGCCTCCCATGACGCTCTCTCTACAGTCCATACCGTTGCATCATCAGATCCAGAGCCAGGCTCGCATAGCGCCCAGACTCCTCCTCTCCACCCTCTGCCTGACATGAGCCAGAGTCCCCTGCCTCACCACCCAATGAGCCGCGCACCCGCAGACTTTCTGAACGTGACTGCAGATATGAACGCCGAAGTGGATGCACTGGATCCAAGCATCATGGACTTTGCATTACAAGGTAAAGGGGAAGATGGAGGGAAGCTAGGGAGGTAGGAGTGTGCGAGAGATGGCAGGGGTGGGAACACATCCTGGACATACTGGCCTGGGCTCACCTTCACTGAAATACTGCAGGACTGGGCTGAAAGAGAAGATCAGAATTCTAGCTGAAATACTATGTTTTATGTACCTTTAATTTCTCTATATCCTTCACTATAATTTAGCCCAGTCATGCAGCGTCCAGTGAAGGGCAGGAGTGTATATGGTAGGGGGGAGGAGGGATGGACTGGTTTAATGGTTCAAGAAAAGGCATAAAAATCACAGCCCCACTCTGAGCATCTGCCTAGAACAGGATCTCCCGTGTTCTAATCCTAGCTTGGACACAGACTCCCGCTGTGGCCATGGGTGACATGCAGTCTCTCTGAACCTTAGTTTTCCCATTTGCACAAAGGAGAACTTCTTCTGTCCTAGGGTTGACATGAAGATTAGCTGGGTCATGTCCATGCAGCATGTCAGAAGAGAAGAGTGATCTGTATATAGTATTGCATAAGGGTGAAAAATACATTTTAAGCAGGTTGAGAGGGACAGGAAAGTTAGCTGTGGACGGATCAGCAGAACCCATATTTCCTGGCTATTCTAAATGCCTTCATACCGCAAAAGCCATCTTCAGGCTGAGCAGATATTAAAACTTCTCTGTTAAGCAGTTAACCTTAATTAAGAACATTACACACCTTGCATTCAGCAGGTCAAAACTTTTGTTGACTGACTTTACCATTTTTTAAAGGAAATCTGTGGGAAGAAATGAAAGACGACAGCTTCAATCTAGATACTTTAGGTGCCTTCAGCAACTCCCCTCTGCAGCTCTCAGACTGCGAGCTGGGCACGGCTGGCCTCACCCCCGTCTCAAATGGTAGCGACTATTCCTTCTCAGACTTGCAGGTCACAGGTCTCTACACTACTTATGCCACGATGGATAATGTAGCCTCAGCCCAGTACATGAGTGGTCAAGGCAACAAGCCCATTGCTCTGCTTTAAGGGTCACACCTTGGAGGAACTAAAGAACTGGTCATAGGCCTATTCCCTTTGAGACCTTAGGATGTGATCTGAAAGCTGGGAAGCAGCTCCTTCTGCAGACCCCTGCATCATGCAAGGTACTTACTAGAACTCCCACTGTGATGCTAAAATGTATCAAGCCAGTGCTAGTCCAGCCTGTGAACACGCCTCCTCTTCCATCTTCACCACGACCAAAAAAGGATTTGGGCTGTTAGGAAAACAATGGGGGAACTGGCAAAACAGAGCCCTGGGATGCATGTTAGGAAAACCTTTAGTAAACTAGTTCACGCACACTAGAATCATTGTCATCAGATCCTCAAAGCTCACTTCATGAATCAAGCCAGTGCTAGTCCAGCCTGTGAACACGCCTCCTCTTCCATCTTCACCACGACCAAAAAAGGATTTGGGCTGTTAGGAAAACAATGGGGGAACTGGCAAAACAGAGCCCTGGGATGCATGTTAGGAAAACCTTTAGTAAACTAGTTCACGCACACTAGAATCATTGTCATCAGATCCTCAAAGCTCACTTCATGAACAGGACTGGCATGCAGATCCTGTTTGACCAGCATACACAGGAGCCCTTGTGGTAGTTCCTTGCTCCAACAGGACTGAGTCCTAGATTCCAAGAACCACCTGACCTTATGTATTTACTTCTTGTTTTTTTTAAAGAGCCAAATAACTGTTGCCATCAAACAGAGATCACATGCCCTTTCTGGAATGGGTTGCAATACCAATACCTTTCTGATGTAATTGCCTGTAATATTTTTTTTTAAGTGAGGAGCAAAATGGAAAGGAGGCTCAAACAGATTTTTTAAAATCAATCCTACAACTGCACAATTTTCATACTTTGTGGCTTAAAAAAAAGAGCGGGGGACTGACCACATGAAGGAGTTAGTAGGGCTGAAATATTAAATCGATCACTGGAGTGAAATTTTAGGAATGACATTTATCTTAGGCTAAAAAAATATTAGGTTTGTTACAATAGTTCCTGTGTATTGTGCTTCTGTTGATTCTTGTGCTAGGCAGTATTACTATTTTTAAATTTATTTATATTTATTGTTATGAAAAGAAATTATGTGAACTGTTCAACTTCTTTTAAATGCAGTAACCCTTTTTTTGCATGAACTAAATTATTCATAAACACAAATGCAACACCTTAGCTTAATCACTTCTGTAGTACTTTGGTTTCTTTGTGAAAGCTTAATTTAAACACGCACTTTTGAAACTGTGAAATACCTTTTTTTTTTAAAAAAGTCAGACCAAATATTTAACTGTACAGTACCAATTCATAATTGTCTTTTCTCCTAATTAATCTAAGCAAAACTGCTTTTTACCATGCATTTTTGGAAAACTTTTGAAAACTAATTTCTATTTGATAATGTTAACATTGGTTTGGAAGAAAGTTCAAAGGACAAGTGATGTAAAGCAAATTGTATGAATTACACTTAACTGTAGTGCTTAGGTTTTTGTACATTTGAGACACTGGAGTAATATTTATTATTTTTAATGTTTTGCTTAACACTGGGGCTCAATAATGATTTTACACATCCTTATTGTACCAGAATTTTATGTGCTCGATTCAGATGACACTCTTGCCTACGCTAAACGATGACTACGAATGTTTTGAAGCAGAAAAAGGCCGCGGTATTTTAAATTGTGTATTGAAGTCATCCCTTGCTAAATTCTACATATGGATACTCTGAGAAGATGTAGAATACAGGGTCATATCCCACTGCATTGCCCAGTAGAACTTTGTTGAAAGTCAACATTGTGAACATAAGAAGTGATAATGCTTTGTGTGTATATATATCTTTTCAAATATGCACAAAAGCAATAGCGTCTTTTGAGGTGACAGGATGCTCCATGTCAATTTACTGTTGAACCAAGGCCCATTTGGAAAAACAATAATTGTGGACATTGATGATTTGATGTGACCCATATCTTAAGATGTTTTAATTTTTAAAAAATGTAATAAATATTTCTTAGTAGCAACCCTGTGTTATTCTAGATGCACTGTGTTAAAGTGAGTTCGGTGTATATAAAGCTAAGTCTCAGAGGTACTTTGCTGCTAAGTGTCAAAAAGGAATGGTCTAGAAATTGCTCTCTGAATATTACATGAGCAGAAAATGGTTTTATCTGATTTAATAATGCAGTAAGCTCAGAAATGTTGACCCTTGAGATACTAAATTTGCCACAAATGGCCACAAACTTCTTCTGGAGACAAGACCATGGTTTTTCTCAAGAACCCATCACTACAGGAAACACCGTCATGTCCTTCGTTTCTACTATGCACACAAATTAAAATAAGGATTTGCTTCTATACAGCACCTATGATCAAACGTCATTGTTCATTACCAATGTAACAACAGTTCAGAAGAGAGCAGTGCAGAGAGCTGTTCATTCAGTAAACCAATTTTGCAGAGCCAGGAACAAAAAAAAAAAAAAACAAAACAAAAAAAACCACAGGATTCTTGCTCCTAGTTGTTTGCTCTCATCAGATGGCAGAGTTAAAAAACAGGCTACAGCTGAACCAATTTAGAATATTCCTGAAATAGAAAGCGATTTCTACCACATGCTTACCCCTCCCCCATTTCAAGCCTCGCTTGAGAACACCACTTTAAAAAAGGTGCATTGTGTACTTTCCTCTGCATCCAAACCCACCTACAATCACTAATTTTTTGTAATAGAAATGTAGCCGTGTTAGTCTGGGGTAGCTGAAGCAAAATGAAGAACAATGTAGCACTTTAAAGACTAACAAGATGATTTATTAGATGATGAGCTTTCGTGGTTTTTTGTAGTTCCACTTCTGTGAGAAGTCCTGCTATCTGGGGTGCCTGAAAACACCCCTTAAGATGAGTTGTTGCAGTCAGGTTACATGTGAAAGGACTGAATGGAATCACTACTCAGTTGCTCTTGAGGAGCTCATGTGAGCGTCACTGCCTCACCCCCATTCTCGAGCATCCTTGCTGCCCGGCATTCCAGCAAAATGGCTCGGGAGGCGAGGAGGACACTGAGCTCACACTTCTGAAAGTAACAACCTCTTCACCTCCCTTGGCTGGATTGGCTGAGGCAAAATGAGTTTTGTGAAAAGCAGAACTCCCCTGCCAGTCAGACTATCTGACAGGTACCCCACGGTTAGCAAGGATAATTAATGTTTTATATTAGGGGGAGAGGGACAGGACAATGTTCCAATTTAATTACAGAGTAGCACTTGCTTTTTTTTTTTTGCACCATTGGCATGCTAACTTACCCAAAGTGTGGTCACCAAGTAGTCCTGTCTCTGGGTGGTGTGTCAGAGACACTAGCTGAATGTCACTTGCGTGTTCTCTGTAGCAGTTTTACAAGTTTTCCGTTCAGTGAAGGACCTATGCACTTTACATTTCCCTA